CCTTTTCTGAAGAAGGGTCTAGGCCCGAAACGTCAGCCTTCCTGCTCTTCTAATGCTGCTTGGCCTGCTGTGTCCATCCAGCTCCACACCTTGTTATCTCAGATTCTCCAGCATCTGCAGTTCCTACTATCTCCAGACCTGAAATGCCAGCTTTCCTGCTCTTCTAATGCTGCTTGGCCTGCTGTGTTCATCCAGCTCTACACCTTGTTATCTCAGATTAAATTGGGTGTTTTCAGATAGTATGGTCGTGGGCTCATGTTTCTTTATAATTTTAACCCTAATTAGCTTGTTTGGATATGTCATGATGTACCTCCATGGCAGGTGGGACTTGAATCCAGACCTTCTGGCCCAGAGGTAGGACCCTTAACATGACAATTAACATAAATGTCCTCCTACTGTATGTAAATAACTCCATGATTGAGAATGGTAATGAGAAACAAAATTGACAGTACATTATTTATTATAACGTGTCCAAATAGGTTGATTATTTTAAAAAGTTAAGAATATGTGAAGGTGCATATGGATTCGGCTAAACTAGCTGGTTATGGCTTTAAAAAGTTGAGATGCTGACAAGTCTGTCAGCACTGGAAAACAGTGATTAAATTAATATTTACTGTAGAAACAGTTCATTTTAATGAAGGATTCCTATCTGAAATGTTAATATTTCCCTTTTGAGATTCTGATCACACTCTTATTTTCTCACTTTCTTTCAGATTTATGCTTTCTACTTTAGGTTGTAGCAAATTATACTATGTGCCTTTATGAATATACATGGTATATATAAGAATAAGTAAGAGTTCAGCAATGCTGCTAATTTTATATTATTACATGAAGTAAATATTTGGATGGTTTTCATTTTAGTCTTCGAAAAGTATGGCAGAGAAGAAAGTGCACAGTAAAGAATGGCTACTTGACAATATCCCATGCAACTGTGAGTAATATCTTTGTATTTTCTTAGAGCAAAAAATAATTTGGTTGTTTTATCAATATTGAGTTAGTTGATTACATCATTAGTTTGTACAGTATTCAGTGAACAGACATGGAGGTACAAATAGTGCAGCAGAATTAATAATTGACAGTTTTCCTCTTTAAAAATAAATTACTGATGACACTCTTATTTTCTCGTTTCTTTCAGATTTCTGCTTTCTACTTCATTTTTTACTTTCTACTTACTTCTGTGATGACAATTGGATTACATAGAATAGATGGTACAGGACAGGCCATTCAGCTCAACCAATCCATGCTGATATTTATGCTCCGTTTGTGCCTCATCCCATCCTTTTACATGTAAATCTACCATTATACCTCTCTATTACATTCTCCTTCATAGCAAGTATTTTGTACTTACTCTCTCATCATGGTACAATATACTAGTCACAACCTAATAAAAGTAGAGGGTAGTGGGGAAGCTAAAAACAGGTAAAGAATGAAAACCAAGAAAACTGATAGCTAATTGCACCGTGCCAAAAAGGAAAATAATGAATAGGAAATGATGCCTTGACATACCTACTCATAGACAATGCAAATAATCCCATTAGCCTAGAGGCATGTACTCTCCAGGGAGAGACAAAACAAAACTAGGCCAATTTGGCAAGATTACTGAAAATCTCTTTTGGCAATCTGAATGAGTCTAGGAGATCCCTCAGGCCCTGTTTAGATGATCACCTAGCTCCAAATTTACTTTATAGGATACCTACTTCTTGGGCAACGTAATCTCCATTTGAGGCAGAAATGTGTTCCACTTTCCCTTGGAGGAAAATAATGGATCAGCATTCACCACACAAACCAGCAAGCTTTTCCACAGTTTCATTGTTACTTGAGAAAACAAGAGCTGTCAAACATCTAATGTATGGTCTGTGCTTCTACACCCTGTTCCTCCCTAACCTTTGAGTTCAAATTGGTTGATCCACAGTTTGGTACCATTGTTTTTTCTCTTGTACATTGATCAAATCACTCTGGGCTTTAAATATATACAGCCTCCTCTTGGAACATATTTGAGTAACTGAGCTGGAATAATTTGAGCTGGAATTTAATCTTGTTGTTATCCTGTGTACCATTTCCAGAGTCTCAGTACACCCCATTCATAAAAGGAGACCAAGACTGGATGTAGAATTTGAACTTCTCGTTCCTGGAGGGCTTAGGCTTGTGGTACAAACTGCGCATTGAGTTTGTACACTACCTTTTCCAATATAAGAGATTAAATAGTTCTGTATTCTAGCCATTGCTTTCAGTTTTTTTTTGTTTTTGTTTTAAATTAGAATTGATGATTTCAAAGATTTAACTAAATCTAAGAAAAAGAATTGAACTGATGTATTTATCATTACGTCGATATTAATAAGGGGGATAATTCAGTTTGAGCTGCGTGCATGTTGTGATTCTGAACCCAATGATGTCACGAATAATCACAGTTGAAGAAGATATATAATCTCTAACATACTACAATAAGAGTGGATATACAACAGAATAACAATGCTGAATTAAAACTAACATTGACGTATGACATTGCAAAATGAATTTATCATGACGCTCTCTTTTGGTTTGCCCATTAGCGAAGAGAGAGAGAGATTTCATTGAAAATTTTATTTCCTTAAAAGGCTGGAAAAGGTTCAACACTTTTTGACCCAAATTTTCAGGCCTGTGATCTCCATTTTGGCATGTTTATTCATGTTCATATTTTCAGCTGTGAACTCCTCCTCCTTTCTCCTTGCAGGATATCTCTTTGGCCACTAATGCAAAGGGTAAGAAAAGCTCACAACAGGTCCTATTAATTGCTGTGAGCAAATAACCAGTTGATCATTCCCAATACGATAACTGAGAGAAAATGTTGATCAGATCTTTCCCTTTATTTTCTGACATTAAAGCTTAATTTCTTGAAATAATATTGAAATACTTACAGCAGGTTATGCTGAAACTAGGTATAAATATAAGTTATAGATTTATTTTTCTGTCGTTGCTTTTGTTAACTGTCAGCAGAGGCAAGAAACATATGGACATGGATACGCCATACAGCTTTGCCTGTATAACTTTAATATCTTTGGCTAGGAGAGTGCAAAATCTCCATTTTAAGATTGATAATTGATCAAACATGAATTGCCCTGAACAGATGCAAGTTCAAAATATCTGCAAATTTTTTTTATCAGAAATGTTTTCTAATCTTACTCATGAAAGGTGACTATTGGTAGATAGGTTGAGAAGACCAAGAACGTGGTTGTTGAAGTCAGGTTGCTACTTATACTCACGCCAATCCCTTAAATCTGTTCGCTCCACTTCTGCTCTACCTACACACTTATTTCACCATTTCTTTATTCACCATTTTGTGACATCCTCCCATTTCAAGCAGCAATGCCACTCCTCCTCCCATTGTTACTATTGGCATTTTCTCTCTTTTGCTGCTATGGCAATCCCTTACATTTTCCACAGCCATCATCCCAGTGTTCCTACACCCGAGGCCCATTCTTCCCCTACTGTGGCCCCATGACAATCACTTTTCCTCCTCCTCCCAAATGTCAGTTCATTTCGAATTACTCACTCTCTCCTTCCTGTTGCCGCTGATTAACATATATATCTTCCATGTCTTCTAAGTTCTTGTGAGGAATATCTCCTACACATCATATTAAACTTTTAGCCCATAGTCCACTATTCCCCTCTGACACCTTTTCCATCATATTTTTAAATAAATGATGTATCTTACTCCAATTAAATGATTTTTGCATTTACCAAAGTAAAGTAGAAATTTGCTTCTAAAGTCTGTGATATTATTGTTGCATTAAGTGACTTTGAATTATGAACATGGCCAAACTTCGTATGATTTGGACACAATTGATTTGTAGTATAAAATATACAATTCAAACATATTGCCAAAAAGCAAAATAATTTTTTCTGTTAATCCCAGTTTGTTTCTAATTGTTCAATGTTCAAAAACATTTCTGAACCTGAGATTCTATTTGGTATTTATTAAATATGGAGTTGTATACTTTGACCAACTTGAAAATTCAATTACATTTGCTAAGTTTATATACTAGGGAGTATGAGAAAACATATCAATTTTATATGATCTGTGTGCTTCATAATGGAATAAAGTGATTTGTTTAGTTCAAGAATGCAACTCCATTGGATCCAAAGAAACAAAATTGTACATTTTTTTGTTTCGATAGTCTCAATCTAAAGGAACAAATGTAAATGAGTTGAAGTAAACCTTCAGTCTGGTTCAAACAAGATGAATTGAACACTGTAATGGAAAGCTGAAATTGCTGCAATATTATTATGTTCCAGTTTAAATACATGGCCTAGATATGTACTTGAAATGATGAATCCTTTCTACAATGTAGTGCAAGTATCAAATGTGACAAGCTGAAAGTTTTGTTCTTCTCTATAAGCAAGTGTAAGAGCACAAAAGCAATTTCCCTCATTAAAACCTGTATCATTGTGAAGATGACACTCTAAATATTAATTGTAACAATTAGAAAACTGTTTAATGCTAAATTTTAGAGCCAGTAGCCAGGAATAATTAGTGCAGAAAGTACTGGAGAAAGTCAGGTCTGGCAGCATCTGTAAAGAGAAAAACAAAGTTAAAGTTCTGAGCCCAGTGATCCTTCATCATACAACAGAGACATAAAATAGTAAGCACAGGATGGAGCCCTTCAGCCCACAATGTTGTACCAAACATGACTCCAAATGAAACTAATTCCTTCTGCCTGCCCTTGGTCCATATCCCTCCATTCTTTGCATATTCATGTGCTTATCTAAAAGTCCCTTAAATGCCCTTATCATATCTCCCTTAACCACTACTCCGGCAATGTATTCCAGACTCCTACCACACTGTTTTAAAAAAAAGTGCCCTCCTGTCTCCTTTGAACTTTCACCTTAAATGCATGTCTCCTAGAATTAGATATTTCACCTCTGGGGAAAAAAAATTCTGACCATCGTGCCTATCTATGCATACCATAATTTTACATTAATTCTCTCAAGTCTCCCCTCAGCCTCCACTGCTCCAGAGAAAACAACCCGAGTTTTTCTAGCCTCTCCTTATAGCTCATGCCCTCTAATTCAGGCAGCATCCTGGTAAACCTCTTCTGCACCCTCTCCAAAGCCTCCACATCCTTCCTGCAATGTAGTGACCAGAATTGAACGCCGTGCTCTAAGTATAGCCTAACCAAAGTCTTATAAAGCTGCAACATGACATCCCAACTCTTGTGCTCAGTTCCCTGACCAATAAAGGCAAGCATGCCATATGACTTCTTTACTACCCTATCTGCTTGCATAGCCACTTTCAGGGAGCTATGGACTTGAACCCCAAGATCCTTCTGTACATCAATACTGTTCAGGGTCCTGCCATTAACTGTCTACTTTTCCTTAACATTGAGCTCCCAAAGTGCAGCACCTCACATTACCCGGATTAAGTTCCATCTCCCATTTCTCCGCCTATATCTGCAACTGATCTATATCCCACCTTTGACCACCTTCTATACTATCCACAACTGCGCTGATCTTTGCATCGCTTGTACCCCATCTGCATTTTCATCTCAATCATTTATATTTGTCACAAACTGAATGCAGCTGGGGGTGGAGGTGAGGGAGGATGGAATGAGTAGAGTACGTGGAGACATTGCTGTAAAGAGAGCAGCTCAAGTTGGGCCCACGCAGGTTTCCATGGCCTGACAAAAGAGAGAGGAGTTAAGGAGGGCTTTGTTGGTTATGTGGAACATGCCTTGTTCCAGCCCCTCCTCACAATTCTTTCTTCAGTATGTTGCTGCTTCCGTCTCTCTTCCAGAATTGGAAAAATTTCTCAATTTTGTTTCCAATTTCGATCCTGCTCTCTCCTTCACCTAGTCCATCTCTGACTTCTCCTTTCCTTTTTTTACATCACTGTTCCCATTTCTGTCGATAGGCTGGACACTGAAATCCAATAGAAGCCCACCTATTTCTTTAGTT